TGTTTGAAGTGATGAAATGGAGATCTTCAAGTCTAACCACTTGAATGTGGTTGATGATCTCTTTTGGAATGATCTTATCCTAAGAGTTTTAATGCATAATAATGTATGTAAATATAATGAAACTAATATGAAAGTGTATAAATACACTAGGTTAACAAGGAAATCTTACCAAAATTCTAAGGATGGACTTGGGAATTTTGAACTTTGAAACTTGGAGTTGATTTTCTTGAGAGGGAATGGAGAAATATTTAGAGGGAAATGGAATGGGTGGGGTTTGTGGAGTGATATGTCGTAGTTAAGGAAGAAGAGATGAAATGATGCTTGCCTTATTATCTGCTGGACAATTACTTTGATACATGTTATGTATTGTTCTGCATGGGAAAAGTGGATAAGCATCTAAATCACAAAGTCAATTTTTATTGTAACAAATCACGTTATGAATTTACTGATATACGGTTAGAATTTAGACATTCCTTGTCTATGCAGTTATCGCAGTCAAAATTTCAATAGCGGTCACATGCCGTTATTTGAGATCGCGGTTATCGCGGTGGTATAGCGGTGATATAGCGCTTTTTTAATATTACGTATAATTTATAATTTTATATTATATTTATATAGAAGTTATATACATTTGAGTATTAATACTATAAATCTATATAGAATTGATATCATAAACCTAAAAAGTCATATAAAAACACAACATAATATTCTATTATGGTAATAAGGAAACTACGTAGTGTCAAAGTGTCAAATAGAGATTAATTGTAGTGCCCATGTTCAATATCGTATTAGTAGGTCATGGTTGATATAATAAGTTAAGTCCCAATTTGTAGCCTCATAGGTGTGTTTCGATTAACAAAAAGCATTAATGGAGTCTGACCATAGCAGCTGAAGTCGTCGTGAGTACAGAAAAAGATGAGAAAGAGAGTTGTCGGTAGACATAGTTGCTTTGAATGTTTTTAATTATGTTAGTTGTTTGGGCATTTTAAAATGAAAGTGTAGTGAGCTCATTAAAACTAGTTTTTCATTGACAAAGTAACAAAATGACCCTAAATGTGAACGAAAATGGAATAGCGCCCATAGCGCCGCTATAGCGGTTATTGAAATAGCGGTGAATAGCGCCGCTAATAGCGGTACCGCGAAATGAAAACGCTAAGTTGAAAATAGCGGTTCCTGACCTCCGCAAAACGCTATAACGTCGCTATAGCACCGCTATAGCGTGCAATTGATAGCTTAGTTCCTTGTTCCAAATTTTTTTTGTTGTCACATTTATGGTTACCTTACTTTAAGTATAACTTATGTTTAAGTTCATTATCCTTATTATGAACCTATAAACAACATATATGCTAAGTGTTATAAATTATACAAAGTGTTATTATAATACATTTTAACTACTCATGATACGAGGGATCTGGTTTGAAGGGCCGCATAGGGTTGTTGGATTTCAGAACAACTTAAATACCAAAATGGTTATGCCCTCCGGTGTTTCATGTCTGGCCTGTGTCTGTACTTAGTTGTTGAAAAGTATTATTTAACACTTATATAATACAAGAAAAACAATATTGCATAGACTAATAATTAGTCGCAATAAATATTAGACTAAGATCTAGTGATAAAAATATTAGGTTTTGTCGAAGGAAAATAAAATTATTAGAAGCGAAGCGATACCCGAGTTTGGAGTCATCACTTTAACAAGTGAGTGTATAGTTACTTTCATCTTACACATAGATATAAAATATTTAATATAAATTATGTGCTATGTGTACATATTATATATGTTGATATCTATGTTAGATGAACAAAAGACACATGTTTTCAGGGGCGGACGCAGGAATCAGTGGTAGGGGTTGCACAATTTTTTTTTCCGGTCAAACATAATATAAACCATTAAAAATAAAATTCGGTCAAACATAATATAAAACATCTAATACAATTTTTTTTCTGGTTAAACATAATATAACAACAATCTATTAGAATTTAAATTTGTCCTCTTCGTGCGGACATCTTTTGAAACCGCTCCATTACTTTTTCGTTCTCAACTTTTGCAAGTGCTTTGGTATCGACATTACAAAGCAATGTGTCATTCAAAAATTCATCGTAAATTTTGTTACGCAAGTCGGTCTTCAAGAGCTTCATCTTTGAAAAACATCTTTCTACACTTGCGGTTGCTACGGGTAATATCAAAGCCAACTTTAAAAGGTTATAAACCAAATGATAAGACCGATGCTTCCTCGTGCTAACCATAAAACGAGAAAGGTCGAAAATTCCTTTCAAACTAGTGAAGCGCTCATCTTTGATGCAAGAGTGATAAAATATCTCAAGTTGTCCTTCAAAGTCTATCATATCTGAATCATCAAAGTCATACTTGTATAACTTACCCAACTTCAATAACTTCGATTTGTCAAATTGTGCAAATGAATCACAAGGGCTCAAAGCACCCATGTATTCTAGTAATTGGGTGTTTATTTCACTAAATCAATCCTGATATTCTATAAGTTGCATATCTACCACCGTGTTGAAGATTTCTACCTCAAAATTAAACCTATTAGTCTTTGTAGTCCTATGTTTTCTCGCACCAATATACAACTCTTCCATATCTAAAGTATCAATTTCGTGTGTTTGACAAAAAGATGATACTTTTGACAAAATGCCAGCAAACCCTATGTTTCTAAAAGATTGCAATGCCTCCATTGTCTCTCTAACCATCGAAGCCGCTTCTAAAATGTCTAAAGCTTTTCTTTGAAGTTGCTTTGACAATGTACCCGTGAGGTGTAAAATGTCATACATCATATGTAAGTAAAAAACGAACTCATATGATTTAAAATATACTAAGATTCCAGATGCTTGTTGACGGTTTGCCAATGACCCTCCATCCTCTTTCACAAAATCTAAAACTACAAGAACATCCGCAAACAACTTCATCAAACTTGTGAGTGTGTTGAAATGTGAACCCCATCTTGTTTCTACCGCTCGAATAAGTGTTGTCTCTTGATTTAACCCTCTTTCGGTTTCAAATTCACCACTACACAAGCCTTTTTGCACCCTTTCTCTTGCTTGCTCTCGTAGTAAGTCTTTTCTTTTACACAAGGCACAAACAACATTAACCACCAACGATATTTGCTCAAAAAAGTCAGTAACACCATCATGCTTCTTTGCTACAGCCACAACCACTAATTGAAGTTGGTTTGCAAAGCAATGTACATAAAAAGTCGTGTTATTCTCTTGTAATATCAAAGCTTTCAAACCATTGAATTCCCCCCGCATATTGCTAGCCCCATCGTAACCTTGTCCTCTTATCGATTAAAATTTAAAACAATTAATATATATATATATATATATATATATATATATATATAATTAAATTGAAATAACAAAAAAGTAAAGAATAAATTACCTGACTAAAACTCAACTTATTACTTGTAAGTACTTCATTTATGGCATTTTTTAGTGTCAAAGAAGATGTATCCTTCACGTGCACTAGTCCTATGAATCTTTCTTTCACAAAGCCAAGTCTATCAACATAACGCAAAACAATAGCCATTTGTTCCTTTTTGGAAACATCACTAGATTCATCAACCAGTAAAGCAAAAACATCTTGACCAATCTCTTCACGAATACTCAAAAGTACTTCTTGTGCAAAACATTACACAAGTTCTTTTTGAATTATAGGGGAAATAAGTTGATTGTTCTTAGGAGCATTTTCTAAAGTATTGTTGAAAATATCTTCACTAGTCTCTCGAATGCCTTTTAACACTTCAATGTAAAGCCCTCTATTTTCCGAGTTAACTGACTCGTCATGACCACGAAACGGTAAACCGGTTTTCAATAAAAGTCTAACAACAATAATAGAAACACGTAATCGAGCTTTATATTTATGGTACTCTGCTTCGGTTTGCCTCCTCAAGACTACATTAATAACTTGTTTTTCCCTCATTAAAAACTCACACTTTTCTTTTGCTTTATTGTAAAAACTATCAACACCACCCACATGAGTCCGAATGCATCTTTTTTATTCCAAGTATCAAAACTTTGGGAAACAAATGCATCTCTCCCTCCTTTTTGTCCCATGAGGTCCCCACACAAATAACAATATAAACAATATGCATTATTCTTTTTCACACTATATTCCAACCAATCAAAGTCATCAAACCATGAAGGAACGAATCTTCTAAATCTATCACCTATTTTTTTAGGAAACTTATGTGCCCTTACTTGACACGGTCCTTGAAGCAAATATGCTCTTCTTACATCATCTCTTATATTTCGTTTGTAACTTGTAATCAATGGCCTATCCACCAGGTCCTTTGGAAGATCTTTCAAGTCAAGATTATCATTAGGTTGGTTAGAGCATGGTGTTTGTGGAGTTGCATTAGAAGCCGAAGGGATTGATTGATTGGTGATTGGTGTTTGTGGAGTTGCATTAGGATTAGAAACGGAAGGGATTGATTGATGGGTGATTGGTATTTGGGAACAAACTTCACCACTTTCATTTGGATTAGGTCTTTATCTTTTGGTAAAAAAAACCACTTAGTTTAACCTATAAAAACATAACAATTACACCTAATCAAACAATGAATTCAATAAAAACATAACAATTAGTCAATTACACCTAATCAAACAATAACTTCAATAAAACAAGTTGCTTTCACCTAATCAAACAATAAATTCAATAAAAACATAACAATTACACATAATCAAACAATGACTTCAATAAAACAAGTTGCTTTCACCTAATTAAACAATAAATTCAATAAAAAAAATATCAATTTCACCTAATCAAACAATCAATTCAATAAAAAAATATAGCTATTGCACCTAAGCAAAAAATATAACTTCAATAAAACAAATCAATTTCACCCAAGTCAATCAATAACTTCTAAAAACATATCAATTTCAAATATCTTAATGAATTGGTAGTAGAACTTACTTGTTTCATTGTAGTGTAGAAATTGAAAAAAGACAGAAAAGGCCAAAGGGTCGATTAGTCGATACTTGCTTCAATGCTTCAAGTCTTCAAGACAATTGTTGAAATCGATCAAGGAGACAAGGATTGTGATCGATCCAACAATCAAAACGATCAAGTCATGAACGCTTGTGAGGTCACGATGCCGACTGCCAAGCCACGATCGAAGGTCGATTGGTCGAACGTTTTTTGGACGCAATCACGCAAATCAGGAAGTCGAGTAGACGAGTAGTCGAATTTTGGATTCTGTAATCGTCATTTTTTTTCTACCGATAAAACTCAAGTTAACACTCAATTAATTAAGATTGGACTATTTTTTAAAAGCAGTTAGCCCAATTGCTAATTTATCCAATTAAGTTTTATTTTGGGCTTTGGGTAATTGGACTATTAGACAATAATTGATTAAAACATTGGACATTTGGGCTTGTTATTATTTTTTTTTTGTTTGGTAATTCCCGATACAGTGACGATATTTTTTTTATGTAGTTGGCTAGTTACACAAAAAAAAAATTAGTAGTTGCACGATTTTTTTTTACGTAATGGCACAATAGGTAAAATTAAAAAAAAAATAAAAAAAAAATAAAAATAAGAATCTACTACGTGTGCGGAAGCTAGGTGTTGCTGGTGCCACACCGGACACCTAGCTAGGACCACCCATGCATGTTTTATTTGATTTAAATTGTATATGTATTTTATATCTATAATTATGATGGGTAAAGATGTGTAGATGATATGGATGATGAAATAAATGATGCTAGGTCTCGATGTTTAAGCTAATTTAGTCATCTAGCGGAGTATAAATGACGATCATAAACTATTCTTGACAGTTTAATGGAACGCTGACAGACTCGCAACCTATAGATATTTTTGAACTAAGTATTCACTAGCTTTACTCCATCATTACCTAAAACTAACCAAGTTGTAATAAAAAAAAAATAGAGAATAAGGTGCATTTTATCTTTTTTGGTTAAATATAAACAAAAAAGGAATCAAAAATAAAATGTCATTACCTAACAATAACAATATATATATATATATATATATATATATATATATATATATATATATATATATATATATATATATATATTATATATATATATATATATATATATATATATATATATATATAGGGAATTGTTATTTGGAAAACCAAAAAAAACCTATAAATCATAAAATACATAAAAAAAAAAAACTTAGAGATTATAAAATTTTTCTTATAAAAAAACCATAGGTTTTTTTAATAAATTCGCTGAAAAAAAAATAAAAAATCAATTTTTTTATAAAAGAAAATTTTTTTAAAATTCAAAAAAAATCAGCGAATTTATTTAAAAACCTGCGATTTTTTCATAAAAAAATAAATAAAAAGATTTGTGATATCTAAGTATTTTTATGCATTTTTATGATTTTTAGGATTTTTATTAGAGTTATATATATATATATATATATATATATTATATATATATATATATATATATATATATATATATATATCCGGTAAGAATTTTTTTTTGTAGGAAGGTAAGAAGTTTCTTTTGTACATATTTTTTTTACGAACAAAATAAATGAATCACCAGATGATTTATTTGTAAGATGATTCACAAGAAAAAAAATTTCAAAAAAACATCTTCATGATTTATTTTTAAGTAAATTAAGAAAATATTCATTTTTATGATAATTTTAGTGAATAACAACAAATTCAATGTATAAATGAATCATTAACATATTTTTTTGAGAATTTTTTCTTGTGAATCATCTTACAAATAAATCATGTGATGATTCATTTTGTTTGTTCGCTAAAAAAATATGTAGAAAAAAAAACATCTTATCTTCCTATTAAAATTTTTTCTTCTTATTTGATCTTGAATATATATATATATATATATATATATATATATATATATATATATATATATATATATATATTATATATATATATATCACATGGAATAAAATAATAAAAATCCATAAAAGAAGTTAAACAAGAGATAAATAGTCATACACAAGGTTTTAAATAGCGTAAGACGTGACTTCTCAAGTTTTTCCGAACCTTGGCGAATCATGACGTTTGTAAGGCGTGACTTAAGGCAACAATTTTTTATATAATTGATATTTTTATATGTATTTTCAACTATTATTCATTTTTATACACATATATGAGTTAAGGCAGTGTTCTGGTAATGTTTGACGGCGGTGCAAACCTTAGAGTCGTGGCGCGCCATGATGAGATTTTTAGAACCTTCGTCATACAAGACATTTAAATAAAACAAAAATTATATAAAAAAATTATTCTTTTTAAACCTACACTAACAAAAAATAGTAAACAAGGACCAAATTTGTAACATAATCTTATAATTTTCAATTTTAATTGCGTCGTACTTGACTTGAGGCGGCCATTCGAGCAGCCAGAAACTTCTAGCTCCATTTCAGAAGCCTTCTTCGCAAATCGTACCTACCCCTTCCCTTCCAGTCTTCGTCTTTATTTCAGTACATTTGAAACAGGAACTGCTCATTTTATGTTGTGATTTTGAATCAAACTGAAGAAATTTGATACGCAGTTGCTCAAGATGTGGAACCGAACTTTCGGGAAAACCGAAACCGACGTGGAGTCAGGGTCAAGTGAACCGTTGTATCCGACGATGGTGGAGTCACCGGATCTCCGGTGGTCTTTCATCCGCAAGATATACTCGATTGTCGCCATACAACTACTCCTTACAGCCGTTGTTGGTGCTATTGTCGTCTCTTATCATCCGATCGTCACTTTCCTCACTACCACGAGAGGAGGATTCGCTTGTTACATTCTTATCATAATTACTCCTTTCATAAGTAAGTTCAAAGCAAAGTGGTTTAATTACTTCACTTTTTGTTTTCATTTGATTTTTGGAGTAATCGATTGAAGAGTTTTGCGTTGCTGTGTTGTGCAGCTCTGTGTCCTTTGTCTTGCTATTATCAGCGGCATCCTGTGAATTATGTGCTGCTAGGGATCTTCACCATCGCCCTTGCTTTTGGTATCGGCTTGTCATGTGCTTTCACTAGCGGTGAGTTGAAATCAAACACTTGAATTTCTTTTTACCAGTTGATATGTTGTAGTAGATACACATACACTCAAAATCATGTGAAACAATTGCAGGGAAGGTTATTCTGGAATCAGTGATTCTAACAGCTGTGGTGGTTGTGAGTCTAACTTTATTCACATTTTGGGCGGCAAAGAGAGGATCCGACTTCAATTTCTTGGGTCCTTTCTTATTTGGTGCTCTTATGGTGCTTATCGTATTCTCCATCATTCAGGTCTGTAACTCCTCCCTCCCCCTCATGTTAAACGTACACACTTTTGGGTTTTACTTCTAATTAAAAACATGGTTTACCATTAATTATTATGCAGATATTTTTCCCAATGGGAAAGATTGGAGTGATGATATATGCAGGTGTTTCTGCTATAGTCTTTTGTGGTTACATAGTATATGACACCGATAATTTGATTAAACGATACTCATATGATGAATATATCTGGGCTGCTGTGGCTTTGTACCTCGACATCATCAATCTTTTCCTTTCCTTGCTTACTATACTCAGAGCCGTTGATAGATAAAGTACATACACATTTGGTATGAACTTGTTGAAAAAGACTTGCTTCATTGTAATAGGAGGAATAGAATATTATAATATATATATATATATATATATTGTAGCCAAGGGCCCAAGGCCAATGTATGTTTGGTTTATGAAAATGTATCGATAACTATCAACTACCAACACCAACCAAACGTATATCATTAAATTCATTACACACCCCTATCAGATAAGCCTATAACTATCATTACAAACTCCCTAAACCTTGCAGCCATTCCATTCCACACACATAGACCTTTACAATGTTTGTCGTCCAAAGCAGCAAAACTAAGTAGTAGGACAGTGTCCCTAACTAACCTCAAAGGCTTAAACCTTATGGCCGTCGAGAGAGCTTCTTTTCAGCCACAATTGACAAAAGACGTGACACACCCTGAGTCCACATGTCGTATTCTCTTTGGTTCCTGCACTCAAACTCCACTACTCCACGAATGGTTGTCCTCAGCCCAAAGTAACGCCGTTGCTCACTGCCTTCAAATAGGTGCCTCCCTGGCCACGCTGGCATGTTTTTGCAAACCTCCAAAACAACATCTACGAGATTTCACACATCACAAAATCAGTAATAAGTTTCTTGTTTCTTTTTTATTCCCTATTAAGTCATGTATGGCTAAACTGGATATTCGTATACATACAAATCTGTTTCTTTTCTAGACTACATAAATGTATACCTTTGCATCCCAACAAACAATTTTAACATTAGATGGGTTTGGTGGAAAGAAATTGGACAAATAGGTAAAGGGTTGGTGTCTCAATACACTAAGAGTAATTCTTTCTCTATTAAGTAAAAAGAAACAACCATTGATATAATTACTCAGATTTTTTAAACTACAATGTTGTAAACTAAATAAATGAAAGTAAGCATACTTTCCTTTTTCACCCCTAATTACCTTTTACAAACTTGAAACATTTATTTTTTCCCTCTATTCATAAATATCAGTTATCCAGAAAAGTTAAAATCACTTACTTTTCTTCTTTTTCGTGATCGTAGAGCCAACGTGTTTGCTCTTCATCTTTAGCATTACTTCACCCGTTCGATGGATATAAACAGATACAATTTTCCAATGAAGATCACCTACATTAAAATTTGTTAATACATTAATGATTTATTTAAAATTCATGGAAAAACACATATATAATTTGACATGTGTAAAGACAGTTTTCAATTATTACCATTACGTGTACGTTTAAGAAGCTCGCTACCACGAGCAAGAAGTTCTTGGTTACAAATGCCTAGAAAATTTTCTTCCGGAAGAAGCTCTTCACAGTATCCACTACTCTTTCCATGGCTTTTGCTTTCTTTCACTCCTCTATCAACCGGAATAACCGCTGCTATATTCCATACTTCCTTCAACGCACGTGCCTTCAAAGTCGCCGCACCACGTAAAGCTACAAATACACAAGTTTTCAATTCCTTAGCGGTTTGTACATTACAACTAAAACTCACACTGACAAATTGTATTGTGTTTGACATCCATTAAACTGACACTGTCAGTGTGAGAGGATTGTTTGTTTACCTGTGGCAGCTGCGGCAGTGAGGGTTAATATATCACCATGGGACTTGACATTAACAGCGGAATTAACAGCCGCGATAAGATGTTCACGTTCAGCTCCCATGGCTTCGGCGGCCTCCACGCATTGGGCAGCAACCAAGGTGGCGGCAGAGGCCACCGCCATGTCTGTTTTCGCCATTTGCTCATCTTTCCTGGAGGCAGAAGCTGCGGCGGTGGCAGCTGCGATGGTGGCCACAGCTGCCGCCACGCCGGCAACAGAAACCGCTGCGTGAAGTTGCGCGTTGTGAGCTCTGGTCTCTTCCTTTTTCTTCTCTCGCCGCTCTTTTAACCACCTTCCGACTGTTTTCCCGGCAGGGGTGCTGCTGCCGCCTGTGTAACCACCGCTACGTGCGTTGGCAAACAGGGGTTGTAACGAGTTGTTTGCTCGAAGATACTGCAATGAGATTGATGTTTAGAAATAATTATTTTATTTTTTAAACCTGTTTATATTATTTTAATTTGTATTATGAATAGTTGTGTTTATTATTATATATGGAAAAGGAAAGTATTAAATTAGATTTGACATTCGAAACTCATTTTGTACTGTAGTTTGGAATGGCGATTGGCGAGGGACCCCATGAGTGACTTAAAGAACTGTTGAGAAAACAGAGGACAACAAGACAACTGTGATAGATAACCCACAGTACATAAACAGAGATAACTGTAAGAACAAAGCTAGAGGGTGACCTAGGTTAAAATAAGTAGGTCGTAGATTTCAGAGGGTTATTTTCTATAGTAAAATTTACCATATCCATAAAATTACTTCTATAAAACTCGTACATCGCATAAAAAAATTGTACATTGTTGACTATCTATTTATTTATTTGCGGAATCATTTGGGAACAATAAATTCTTGTTGATAAAAGAAGCATGAAAAAGAATCATGTTTCACCACATTTTTTACCAGCTGTGAAATTACTAAAAATCCAGACAATTAAAGATTATATGAAAGACTTGTACTTCAAGCTCGTAAAACCGTACTTTTTCCCCAAATACAATTTCTATGTCAAATAGATTGCTATATATAGCTTTTTCACCAAAGGCAAGCTAAATTACCATTTTAGACATTTAGTGGTCATCGACATTGATTTGGACCTACGATACATATTTTTTTTTTATATATTTTGTTAAATAATAATTTAGATATTATACAATGGTACCAAAGAAATGCACCCTTGTCTAATTTATCTTTCCATGTAACATCTTTTTAACAATTTGATGTCAAGCAAAAGTTATCGTTTTTTACAGTTTCAGTTTTATGTAAATCTTAAATAGAATAGTAAAATTATAATTAACTTGTTATAAATCAACTGTTAAAAATTTACTTAAAAAAAGCATATTATACAGAATGGTAAAATAGTTAAAGTATCTTGAAGTGTTTTTCAGTTTAATCTCAACAAATAATCAAAAACACCATTCACATTTGAAAATTTACTCTTTGGGCATATCTGTAATTACATCGTTTGAAAATTTACTTTTGGACATATCTGTAACTACATCACTAAAATAAGATTTCACCAAATAGGAAAAGGGTACTTGCATTTATTTATCACTAAAACGATAAAAACCTATAAAAAGAAATTAAAGCCAACACCAAAAACACGAAGGGTAGTCTAAACTTGACCCTCACAGTTGGCTATTACTGGTGTCTTTTCGGGCCTTTATTAATCAAGATTCGCAAATCTTCTTATATTTCATTTTTGATGTCTTTCATCATTCGTTAAAAGAAGTTATTGTCTTTTCCAAAGTAGAAAAAATTAAATCCATGTACAACTTTCGCTGCATGAGTTATTAACTCTTGGTATTATTATTCATGCTACTTCAGTATTTCTACTCTATTTACACTATTTAGTATTTACCTTTAAAAAAAAGGAAAGAACCGATTAATGATTGGGATAAGTTTTCAGTCCTTTTTTCTTGGATCCAACATGAGTTGCAAGTCATGCATTATAAATTGTACACTCTGAAAAAGAGCAAAAAAGGCTTAAGTTTCCTCTTTGCGTTATCTATGCTTTAGTGCTTTACTACTTTACAGTTTACATACACATGTACCCCAAGCATTAAAGCTTATACGAATACAGCCTTGAGAAAGAAAAAGTAGGCAGATTCTTTGTTTATTTAAGTGAAGTATTCTACTATGTATCTTTTACACAAAAAAAAAAGTGAGATAAATCACTATATTGCTAATCCCCAGATCTTATATGCTTCCATTGTTCTTGTTTTTGTCTTAATTAACTTAATTTAATGACAAAAAAGACAAATTAATCTAGAACATCAACATCCGAGTATCTCACAGAAATAATTAATCTTTTTTTTTTGTTACTATTGTATATACTTTATCAGAAAGATTGTCCAAGAATTATAAATAAACTGTAACTTTCGTTAACATGAAGGTAAAAAGAAAAGCTGGGCAAAAGGGTTGTCGAGTAACGATAAGAAAGTTAAAGTTTAAAGCAATAGCCGGCGATCGGAGGTCCCTAGACCTAGACTTACAGAGGGAGGGGGGGCTCACGTCATCCGGCGCCTCACTCTCTGAATTTTGTTCAGATTGGAAAGAAACCATCAGATCACAATAATTGTCTTGTCTTCCGTATTACACTATTTAACAAAAGAAATTCCAAACAATTTTTGGATTTTCAAATAAAAAAGCAAAAACCGAGACAAGGGTTAAATTGAGAAATAGTAACCCAACAGATGAAAACACAAGTACTCAGTCGTCACTCTTACTCGTACACACTACACACTATTTTAAGTTTAAACATTTTTTTTGGTGCCCTAAATTTCATAAATTGAAGGTAAATAGAAAAGATTGGAGGAGTTCTTTACCTTGACGACATCGTCGTAGTCATCGGAAGGGGAGATCGGAGGGCTATCGGTTTCCTCCGTCAACGTCGCATTTAAAGGTCCACTGCTGTGTGACAGCCTCCCTGATGCTAATGGCGATATATCCTGTTATCCCCACATACCCCATCAATATTAATTACTCAACAATTCCTTAAAAATACAGTAGCTTCTAAACATATACCAATGCTTCTTAGTAAACCAGTTTTATAATCATTCTGTCTACAATTTAAACGTAAAAGTAACAATTAAAATCGCCAAAATATAAACAGTTTTTCAAAAATAAACTAATACTAGACACCTCCTACTGGTTTTTTAGGGGAACTGCAGGGAAATCATATATGTCCAGTTGCATTTATATTTCAGTAGACCAACATTTTTCTTTGACGTACAGAATAAAATGATAATGACAATGGATCCTTTAACAACATAAACACAAATTGCGTTAAAAAAAAAAAAAATTAATCGCTATTATTTTACGAAATCATAATCAGAAAATGATGTCCTATATTGTTTACTAGTTGATTACACATTTCCGCCTTAAACAACAAGATAAGAACACTCAGTTTGATTTGTAAACGTTTGAAATACAGTAAGAGAGAACTCACGGACTGAGACATGATGCGTTCGAGCACTAGCTGCGAAGTGGCGGAGGACGCAAACGAGAACGTGTTTCCAGACAGTAATGCGGCTGCAGCTGACTCCTCCGCTGCCTCGACACCGGAGAAACGGTTGTTGTTTTCCGCCGCGGCGGCAACAGAATTTGCACCGGTATTATCAGTATTGATACCAGATTTTGGAATCAATGGAGAGAGCGGAGAGTGTAGAGTTTTAGAGACCTGGAGAGCAGCAGCACTCCATGATCTCGACAAGAACTCCATCGGCCTCCTAGGACTCTCCGGCAGCTGAAAACCGCCGCCACCATGATTCTGTTCCTGCCAAATAGTATCCATTTTTTAAGCAAAAGACAAAGGTTGATGATGAGGGGTTTTTTTGTTAATATTTGATTTTGGGCGTTTTTGCGCTCTTACCCTTTTACTCTTTTAGGAATTTATATAGAAGGCGCTTAAAGAAGCGGGTTGGATGTAGTCGGGTCGGATCAAATGTTATTGGTCTTTTTAATTTTTTTAGTCAACATTTTCTTCCGTTTGAAAACCGAGCTTTCCCTTTCCGCAATTCGTTTTCATTGGTTAATGCAATGGGCCAACAAATTCAATGCACTTTGGAAGAAATATCGACGTGTAATTCCTCGTGTTTTTATTAATTAAAATAGCAACTGTTATTTTATTTAAAATAACTATTATCATACTTCCGTTCGAAAAAGTTATGACAATATTATTTTTGGATTTGTCAATTATCAAAGATATCTCTTTGGATGAAAACAAATCTCCTATTGCCCATGAAATAATGAGACCTCAGTCGAACTGGAACGACTTAGACCAATCAGAATAATTTTGTCTTCGTTATATATGTTATTACTACCAAAATTGATTAATACAACCGGAGTGTGCCAAAGCAGCAAAGGGAAGACACAAATTTAATGTCACTAACCACTAACACTGACAATAAAAGCTTTTGATCTCGATCATATATGGATATACTAAAAGGTGACCAGTGTTGGGGGTGATATATAAACAGTTTGCAGATTAAACCAAACAATGAAAACAAAAATAATATAATAAAAGTTTAATCTTCAATAAATTATGGATCTAATTAGAAAAATTCATATCAACAGCTACAACCATATTTTGTTTTAGAATGACATTTCATTTTAAGGACTTAATTTTGATAACAACTACTAGACATCCAACTAATAAACAACACACAACTCTCATTTGGCTTCCCTTGAGATTGATGATCATACAGTTATCAGTGACAGTGGGTGCGAGGGCCCTCACGAGGTTTTGCGGGAGCTTTTAAGGGTTAGACAATATCATTTTCAGATGTGCATAGTGACCACTCTTCAAAGCTTTTTTAATTCTATGACAAATTGAATTTCTTAAAATATTTACTTATCATTAGCAAAGTGTCTGCAAGTCGTTTTTAAGGAGAAAGTTGAAACAAAGGAAAAAAAATAATGATTTTCCAGTTTTTTATTGGAAGGAGGTGGGAAAAAAAATAATGATTTTCCAGTTTGGAGAGAAAGTAAGCATGTCTCAAATAGAATCTCAATTACATTGATTTAATACCCTCAAACATTTGGACGAAACACATGCATATTTTTCAACTCTTAATACCGTTACACTATAAGTATTCGGACTTTGGTAAATAAGTTTTAGATTTCGGGTCTAAGAATATTAATAATAACTTGGATAATTTTAAGATCTTGTTTTGTATATATAAACTTTTCAAAATTTGTGATTTTGACTCTATTATCTGAGGTATCATGAAATCTGATTTGAGATTAATCCAAGAATAATCAATTTGAACTTCCAGCTTCTTCCAAATATAAAACACAAAATATATATGGTGTATTGTGTTTTTTAGATAGATTGTTTGCTTGCAAAGAGAAGAATATGAATTCTAATTATAAACTTGTTGACATTTGCATGCAAAGACATCTTCCATTTTATACTTGGAAGTTGGCAATTTTTAGAAGTGGTTATAAGGCAAAATGGTGGTTAATAGTAGTAACTAAGAGAATAACTATCGTGAGGGCTCTACCTCTTGGAATCCTATACCTAAAGGTGCTGCCATCGAACCATCGTATTTCCGAGTCATATTTATCATTTCGAATGTGCACCCTACACCCGACTAGTTAACTGAACTCGGTCTGTCTCATTAACAATAATAACTACATTAAAATATGTTAATAACATTAAAATCACCAACATAAAACTTAAAATGATTAATTACCTATAAATATTACAAATATTATATATGTGCATTGCAAACCTATTTTATGATACAAAAATATGAATTTTATTTAACTTTACGGTAATTCTCGAAATACGTTTAATTACACTTTTTGAAATTACATTATCACAAACAAAAATTATATATTATTTTTTAAAAATAAAGTAAGTTCCTTATCATAGTTTGATCCAATGATTACGTTGATATTTTAAAGTGGCACATTAGTGTTATTGGACACTCAAATCTAAAGTTTAGGTCTCGTTCCAAAATCATCATGGGAAGGACCCATACGGTTTAACAGTATCAATAAATATACTACAATATGGATAAGAACTTATCTAACTCATACTATACATTAATCTAGTAGTTCTTGTTAAAGTGGTTTCTTAAGAAAAAAAAAATCCATTGTAATAAATTTGTAATTTTATTATTATTATTATTATTTTAGTACTAAAAGTTTAAAACACAAATCTGGGTATAAAGTTAATTTGAAAAGATTATTATATCAATTCAGTGCTGTAAAATATGGTTGAATATAGTCTAATAATACATATATTAAAATGCAGTTGGACCGTGTAACTAGTTTCTTGACAAACATATATCTTCCCCTTATAATTCTATTGTATTCTTCCCAAAGATAGGAATTTCGTAACTTTCAAAATATATGCAATTTTTTTTGACAAAATTATCATAGAGAAATAACTTTTTATTGTTTTTAATTGTTTTTTTAAACGGCAAATATATATTAATCCACTTCTAAATTATTCCACTTATATCCACATCGGAATCGTAAATTAAACTTTCGACCTCTTTCGCAAGACCGGATATATATTATATAATTATTAATAGAAGTTTCAACAATAATGATGGGAATCTTTGTCTTAATATGACCCTATAATAAGCAATTACTTTCCAAAAGAGTATTATTCTCTTTAACTGTAAATAATAATAAAAATGATCCTTAAATAGATACTCAAAATACCTTTTCTATTAAGTGAATAAAGTGAACAATCATAAAAAATATTTAAAAAAAAGGTGGATGAAAAAAAAAAATCTATTTAGCAAAAGGTTATTCATTATCAAAAGGATGTAAGAGTAAATATGTCATAAAATCAAAATCTCATTATTGTTATGTACAACTTTATTATATGTAATAATAATATAATAATTATTTTACAAGAAAGTACTATTGAAAATTATCTTGCATTAATCCTTAACGATTTATTTTAGTTTGCCATATAAAAAAAATAGAGAATACTTAAAAAAGATAAAGAATTTAGATTTTATTTTTATGTATCCGTTTAAAAGGGTGACTAAAAGCCCTACCCTCGGAGGCGGAGCGGCCGCTTTTGATTATATTTAATCACCCTCATCATTTTCTTAATCAACCTCCTGTACTCAAATCATCACCTTCTTAATCTAGATTCCCTATAGAACTTGATGGATTCGATAATTTTGATCTTTTTATTAGCTGGATAAGGTGTTTTTATATTTAATTGATTGCATTAGTACCAAAAAGTGTCAAATGGCTTGAAGGAGTTGAAGTTGGTCCAGTGTTTACAACATCTAAAATTATGTTAAGAAAATTTATATTATTACCTTAATAGTATCCTTGAACAATAATGTTTAACATATACTAATCATCTATGAATTTTAAAACAGAAATAAAATTATAATTGAGTTGAAGCAACATGAATTCATTACACATATATATTGTGAACTTACTAACAAGAGATCAAAAGTTCAAACTTTGGTACACCTATAATATTATTAGTGTTCTTAGGGATGTTATTTGGGCCGGAACCGAAACGAACCGTACCGTATCCGAATACTCCAAACCTAAATTGGAAGAAAAGTTGGAACCAAACCCGAAACCGATTATGCTAATATGGGACCGGTTCGATTCAGGTAATATGAGTTTCGGTTCGGTTATTAACCTGAAAGGACCGAAAAACATGTATACTATGTTTTTGAATCAAAATGACCCAAGTAACCAAAATAAACTCATTTCCTCTATTGTTGAAGTTTTTGTTGAGTGATTTTGAGAGGTCTTGAAGGAAGAAGCAAGAAGGAGAAAGCTAATGATCAGCTAGAGAGTCCTTATCTCCCTTCCTAGATTAATTTTGGACCCTTGTAAGTGTTCAAGTTTCCACCTTTTTTATTATAGAGTGTCAGATCTTGTATTTTGTCACATTTTCTTCTTGATCTTGTTAGATGGGATGGTAAGAATTCATAAATGTTGCAACTTTATGAATTCCTGGAACGTTTGGAGTAGTTCATGGTTTGGATCTGAAGTTTGGTGGTTTATTTGTGCCATGTATAGGGTTTTGGTCATAAAACCCCTATTTTGACCTAAGTTGAGTCCAAGACTTGCATTGGACATGCAAGTCTAAAAAGCATCAATCTTTAGGATATTTTAGTGTATTAAGCTTATATGGAACAAATGGACTCAAGATGTAACACCCGATTTTGAAAGTACTTGGTTGTGGCTTCGGAGGCCAAGGGTATAGGCGTAATGTGACGATTCAGCCTTTTATGGGTCTCGGGTCTTATTCAGAAGGTTTTAGTCTTGGGGGTGTGGCTAGGAGTAGGGCTTCCCGCCACCTTTTTGTGGATATAAAATTCGTCGGAAACGGACTTAAAACGAAGAAGTTATAGCACTTTGAAGTTATTGGCAATATTGGTCCCTAATGGAGATGTAACATCCAAAAATTTTACGCCAAAATTTAAACTTTTCAAGCATAAATAAAACCAAATAGTAATTGTTTACAAAAGTGTTTTCAATTCATTATTCAATCAGAGTGTCCTAAAAGCCAAATCATAAGGATGGGGAACGGTATGGTCACGCCTTCAGTTTGCCACGAACTCCTGAGGTACCTGAAACAATAAACTAAAAACTGTAAGCCCGAGGGCTTAGTGAGCTACCCCCAAAATACCAATACCACACTGATAATACCATATCTGTAATAACCAATTAATCAACATGCATACTGGGCCATCGGCCTGACTGGATCGCCTTACAGGGCCTATAGTCCAACTGGATCTACATCGAGCCTTCAGCATGACTGGACCGCCACTTGGGCCTACAGTCTTCCCGGATGGCTCCTAGGGTGTGTTGGCCTTCAGCACAAAGCAGGACCGCCTCAACCCATGTAACAAGAAAATAACCATGTGCGCATAACAAACATTTACTGGCATATACAAAACATCGAACATATCTATCTCACTGATTAC